CCCCCCCCCCCCCCCCCCCTTCACTCAGCTGGTCTCCCTCTGGATCCCCCTCCCTGGTACCCAGCGTCCTCTCCTCCACGGCTAGCGTGCAGTATGCCTTTTTTCCTCGATGCTGTGTGCTCCTTAAACGCTGCATGTTAATGGCGTGGAGCACACACCCACCCGCTCCTTTTAACGCGGCGCCAAGGTCTTCAGACTCCAGGAGGCTTCAAAGGCGAGCAGCGCTCACCGCAGATTAAATAAGTTCCCGAAAACCGCGGACCGAGAGAGTTAATAAATTAATTAAGGTCTTCTCGGCTATGCAAATGCAGAAATGGACTTCCCTCATTATTTTTAATGGAATAAAATTAGCATCGAATTAAACATTGTGCGAGAGACCTGTGACGGCTGATTAAATCCATGATTTGGTTCCCCGGAGTGCGAATCAACAGACACTATGTTCAATGTCCGCGGCTCCTACACGACGTGCGAGAACTTTAGAAATATATATCAAAGAATGATGCCTTTTGGGGCGGATTGTCGTTTCTCTCGGAGAAAAGGGGTGTCCGGCGGTCACACCTGCGTAACGGGCTCCGCTGGCTGATACGCGGCCGGCAGACGCCGGAGCACTTGAAGCCACACAGCTTGTCAGCTATATTTAGATGAACATTATTGAACAGCAGCCAGCACATAGGCTAAGCGCACGGTGCAGGCTGATGCTGTGCTGGAGACGGGGCAGGGACGGCCGCGGTGAGAAGTGGGAATGAAACATAATCGTGAGAAACCTACTCTCTGTTACAGGAGCCGATGTAAGTGTGAATAAATGCGCGCTCCATACAGAACACGCCTCATCTTGTGTTAAGGCTGTAAAAACACAATCAACACACTGAGCCGGTAAAAGCCATGATATTTTAGTCTGTTTTGTGGGCGGATTAGAAGCAATTATGTAGTAATAACATAAATAGGAGAAGGCATAGTCTTTTGTGTTGCAATCCTGTTTGTTGGATCACTGAACAGAGACTGTTTCCTGAAATGTCTGCGTTGTTAGTCCTCGCCTCGCCTAGCATGTCTAAACGGAGCGCCTGAAATGCAGTTACCCACCAGAGGAGCACGTTTCCCACCCCAGCTGGAGTGTGACTTCAACAGCACAACAGGCTAGATTGTTGATTCACTGTGCTATATACAAACATGACTATAGTATTTACGCCACTATACTATATACTAAGCAGGAGTATTTATTTAGTTCACTTCTACGGATTATTGATGTCATGCATATTCGAAAGGACCATTCCACTGTACTACTGACATTAATTTAGCATTTTATTCCAATACATACCAGGTCCACTGGCATCAATGTATTATCTGAATTATGTATTCTATAGCATTAATCTAGACCTATTTGTCTACAGTATTTCATTATACTTACTTTACTGTGTTCTGTGAGTATTCTTTTCAGCCATATTGCACATCAGTCTTTGACATGTATTTACTTTATTAACTTTAGCGCATTGTACTCGTGACCAGTGTCCACTATACAGTATATTTGAGTCTTAAGTAGCTTACTTAGTCCAAATCCAAGTATCCAAGGCGATCTGAATACATACAGTATGTATTCAGATCGGGTGCTCTGACACACTCTGACGTGTTAAACTACGCTCTCTAGCCATTTTCCCCCCATTTCGCCTAATTAAAATGAATAATTATAACTCATGTAACAGCTTAATACGCTTAATTCCCTTGCGTTAGAGAGATGAAGGTTATTTGAGGAGACCAGTTTTAAGATCAGGGACGTTCTGCTCACCTACAGTGGCTGCGCCTTAGAAAAGTTTTACCCTGAGCCACATATACCTCACAAGACCGCTGGTTCCATGTGCAACATTCAAGCTTTGAAAGCGGGCTTAGGTGTGTCTCACGCCTATTTCACAATCTATCTGTAACGTTTTAAGTGTGAGAAATGTGTTTTATGTCTGATGACAATGTACGTAGCATGAACTTAAATATGAAAGAGCTCTATAACGCTAAAATTATGTGTAACACATCGTACATTGATACAGGGTGAGTTTAAAAGTAAGAGGTAAAAATGGAATCTACTGTGTAAAGTAATTATCTAATCCTCCAGTGATTTTAGATTAAATATCGTTACAAGTGCACCGTGGATTCCTCGAAAAACCATCACTGGATCTGTATAGGCAACGTCATAAAACGAAAAAGTTATCAGTTTTGTAACACTGACTCGTCTAGGGAGCGGTAAGAAAAAATTTAGTGACAGGCATCTGGTCACACATGGGCGTTTAGATGTTTTTGAATGAAGCCACAACGGCGGGTGTGTAACCAAACCCGTCATGCTGCGTATAAACAGCGATGCATCCTCATCGATCAACAACGACTTGATTCATCCTACCCCAGTTTATTCCTGACATACACCCTGTGCATCCTATTAGACTTCAATAAAAGTTAGTCATGTCTCAGACGTGATCATGCCTCGGCAATGCGTTGGAATTTCCGCGGCGTCTTACCTTCGGTATGGACAGCAGATACGTATGTCCAGTTGTAGCGCTTGACTATGTCCACAAGCGCCCTCGCCTGAAGGGTGTCCGAGGGCACGACTCTCAAAAAATATTTGAAGAGGGTTTTATCGCTGAGGTCGATGCTGGTCGCCGAATAGGCGATCTGGGGGATGTTGAAAAGCTGCAGCAGATTTTGAACTTGGATGGCCACCGAACTGGAGCCGGGACCGATCACCCCGGCTATGGGCTTCTTGGACGCCGGAAGATCTTTCAGAGGCGTCCCGTCTACGCATGTCTTGGAGCCGTCCTTGTCGTCCCGTTCAGAAACGAGCGAATCCCGTATAAATTCGATACTTTGTTCCAGTGCCACAGATGAATGCCAACAGGAGTCCCTAATCTCACAGCCCAAGCTGATGTTAGGTAGGAGGTTCGGATCCGAATTGATACGGTCCAGAGTATGAAACATCGCTTCCACCCTTTGGATGCCGTACTGTTCCCGGACTTCCCCGCATTTTCTCTCGGCAACCTTCTCGGCTGACGGTTGATGATGGACGGAAAAAAGGGCTCCGATAATTATATCTCCATTCATTCTTGCTACGGATCGGGACACGGATCTAGGCACCACTGACCTTTCATGTATGTTACTGGCGCAAGCATATATATCAAAGCATACAGCAGGAAACAAAATCAATGTTATCAGATTCATTTTAATACTCCACATTGCTTCAAGGCTTTTATCTAAATTTGCATAACATCCGTTTGCCGAAGCTGATTATCAAGGTCGTTTTACTTTAGATCCAGATTCGAAGTAACCATGCTTTGCAAAAAGAATCTCCCAAAGTTTTAAAATACCTGCTGAAAAAAAGACGGTATTAGCATTCTGAAAACGGAAAAGAATAGTACATGAATGTATACAGATTTAACAGACGTTACAGTAATATTAAATGAAAAATACGACGTACACGTCTTAAAATATAAAACTTAGACTTTTCTTACTAGTGAAGCGTGTTGGTCGAAAACATGCACGATGAATATTCAACAAAGCTAATAATCGCTTGGCACCAAAGTTAAACTTCATTTATAATGCAGCATTTTAACGTATAAATGGTATTAGCTGTCTGGTATGGATGGATTTATGTTGTATTTTTATTTGTAAATCACGTTTGAAACAGCTTAAAACGTGTATCAAGGCACACTTCACTACTATCTAATACTTAAAAAACGCAGTGATTACTAGGTATTTTAGGAGAAATCGTAATGATGTCGTTCTCCTTTTGCTTGCTCGAATGAGTATATGAAAGGCAGGTTTCAGCACGCTGGACAGCGATATGTATAGACGCCAAACACAACACTGATCCAAATAAGCATAAATCCGCTTACTACAGGTAAAGCGTGCCTAATTTAAAAAAAAAATAGCATTACTTAGGGCGAAACTAAATACAGCAAAATCAAATGTCTGTATGTACACGTCAAAAGTAAGCACGGATTTACAGTTACCAGTCTGTCGTCACCACTGTTGCTATCGTCAAACACTGGAAATGTGCTGATCACAAAACGCATTTTTTTTGACTGAACAATATATTTAAATCCGTCATCTCGGTGAAATGAATCAAGCACGCGTTACGATAATGTGTGTTAACAGCGCTGAGCCAACCCATCAAACAATAGTGATCAATTTCCACTTCCCGTAATTCAGTGGCACCATTTGCAGTCCGTGGCGGCTTGATTGATCACAGTCGAGGAAATAATAAATATCTGCGATACCAGCGTGGAGCGGTCCGTCCAGGCAGTGAAATGCTGCCAGATCGGTGCGTGTTATCGCGCCGAGGAGACGTGCGTTTCTGAGCCGGTGCATGAACTTGGACATACCTGCATCGGAGAGACATCGCCCGCTTCTCCGTCTTCTGGAGCGCCCAGTCCTTGTCTAAGACACTTTCTGCCGTTTCTGCCGCTGGATGAGTGGATGATTTCTCTTTTTTCTTTTTTTTCCTCTCCACAGTGAGAACGCGAGTGCCCCCCTCCTTTGTCAGTAAATCACTACATCAGAAAAATCGGGTCACAGAAACTGCAGAGTGTCCCCGATATAAAGGAAGGACGTGCGTACATCTCTATGAAGAGGAGAGCAATTAAAAGCCGGAGACTCCTGCCAAGTGTGCGCGGGTGAAATGGGAAAGCGGAGGCTACAGGTCTGCTAAGACAAAAGGCCCCTCGGATCTCGGCGATTCTCATGCGTGATAGCCAGCTCTGCAGAATAGTTAGGTTGGTGGTCGTCTGCGAAATTGCGAGACGATCTATTACCGTAAATTCACCCCACCAATATGGTCTTGCTGCAACAACCTCTTTGGCCCCACCGACTTTATCGTCGGCGAAAGTAAAACCTTTTAAAGAGAATTCAACGTTATACTGCGGTGACACGGAGCCGTCCTGTATTTTCCTGTAGGGATTAAAAACTCGAGAGGGACCTGATACGGTGATTTGTGGGGCTCTATGCAAAACCTCCCTCTATCCAGTCTGACTCGGGCCCCTCTCAGGCCTGTCAGCTCTATAATTCCGACCTTAATGATAAGCGAGGAGAGGTGCAGCGTTGCTGGGGGATTAAATGAGACTTATCGGAGCAAAGGCTCAGTCCTTAAATACTAGATCCACTTCCCTCAGCCACTAGTGTATTAGTTTAAAACTCCCAAGCAGACATTTACATTATATTGTGCATGTGTATATATTAAACTATTAAACCCTCACCAGGAGAAGAGGTGGAAATGAGATTAAATGTGTATATTTTGTTATATATTAGCGTACTTATGTTATTAGTATACTTATATAAATATAGGAGCAAAAATAGTGAATGTTAGATTATATATATATAAAAAAAGAAATCACTTGCATTGACTGGACTGAAGTTATGCAAAAGAAAACATTCTTTTGTACTCTTAATTGAATCGTTCCCAGTGAAGATGACTTGTATCTGTCCCCACAAGACACCTTCTCTGGGTGTATTGGGGTGGGGGCAGCATTCTCATTCTGACCAGAGCCCCGACACACATTTCCTTTTGTCTTTCCACGGTTCCTCCAAAAACGCAGACGCTGCCAATGCTGCCTCTCTCAGCTACCTGCAAACCACCCGTCCCGTTTGCCCGCCCGCCCGCCCGCCCGGAAGCAGAGGGTAGCAGGCATGTGTTCCTCTGATTTCACACCCCCACCGATCCACTCATTTTTTATCCTGCAACACACGGTGCCCCATCCCTGCTGCACCTGATGGGCGGAAAAGAATCCACCCCCACTTCACTATACTGGCAAGAGACACACAACCCTGAACAACCACCCCCCACCCTAGAATGACAGTTACATTCTCATACGCCAGAGTACATGGTCCATCTTAGCTGACGCCATCGATTTGTTGCTGTGGGACCTGAACCACCCATGTGGAAATTAGCAGAGCCCCTCCAACCCCCACAAACACACACACGGACAGCGTAAAGTCACCTATGCGCTGGTAGCCTTCCCCCACCTGTCCGAGGGATGCCTGTAACCACGCCGCCAACGTGCCCCCCGGAGACTGCGCTGAGGCGTGCATTTCCCGCTCGTGCACCCCGTTTGCTTGCTTGTGAAACACCATCCCACGTCCTTCAGGGTGGTGG